AAAATAAAGTTGCATTTATATAAAGTAATCACTGTGATGAAAACTTTTCGTATTAACTTTTTATGCATAATGAATGAACTTGTAAGAACAAAGTAAAAGAGATGAGAGTGCGTATTACTTACAGACAATATATATATATATATATATATATATATATATAAGCGTTAGAAATATATGAAATCTAAGAAAAGGGGATTGTAATAAATAAAATCGTATACTTTAGGTATTTGTAGATCTGCTTTTATATTGTTTACAGTTGGTGCTTCTGCAATTCAACGATCTACAGGAATACCATTTTGTAGATTAGATTGTTTCCTATGAATACTAATGTAAGACGAATCGTACGCTACATGTTTATGACCACTTACGTTGCGAAATGGGTCGCGTGAGGGACAAAGTATCTTGTTTGGTCAATTTTATGTATTATGCGTGTTCATTCTCTCTTATGAAGCTGAGCCGATAAGTTCATCGAGGAACAATTATCTACAAGTAAGGAAATAGCTTCCAACATGGTTCTGTAAAGGATAAAAGTTATTAGATCTGCTTTTAAAAATGTGTTCAGCCAAAGCCACGTACCATCGAACTAATTTTTATTGTTATGTCTTAAACTGACTGCGCTCTCGTATCTACTGTCTTTTTATTTTAAACTTCATAAGTCATAGTAGATAGTGACATGCCAAATCAAATTACATAATTGGTTTCAATCAGTCCAAGTTCTAAAACTCGTTGACTGAATTAACTTCTCATCGAGAGTTCTGCTCGTAGTATCAGCATTGTCCCATCAGTGGCTTTACTATGTAGGGCATACCATAAGAATATCTTTAATAAAATATTTATAATCTATGTGTGTACCTTTGTCATTTTTCATCGGAAGGGACACAAAGCGAGCGGCTACTCAACATCCACTATTTAATCGACAGTTGTGTACCTCAATGGTGTTGTGCGTAATGCAGATGGACTTTCTACAACTGTACTAAACTTTTCTTGACAATGAAATTCATCGAGAGCGGAGATTCTACCTGATCGAGTAACGTATATGTATTACTCGTCCTCTATTCCTAATATGGGTATTAATTTAAGTCAGTCATCGAGCACCTTGTTGTATTTTGCAAGTAGCTAACACTAAATATTCCCGACTTTTCACCTGTTTATATGATATTAATCTAATAAATTGATGTTTTTGTATGCTAAGACTATTAGAATGTTCACAGAATAGACTAATCCCAGATTAGGTAAAGTGGTCTCATTCAGTGTATGTGGCAAAATTAGTCGAAGATGATTATATTAAACATCCTTAAAATAATACCTTTATAACAATGATCTAGCTCAGTATCTGAATACAGGTTGGTATATGTACCAGACTGAACCCTGTTTGCTGCACAGACTGGATATTATGCAGCTGCCCAACCTAAACTGAGCATTCCAACAAATAAGGAGTTACCCTAAATATTTAATTGGTGTCGCTTATTGTTGTCATCTTTGATAAAAGTTTGCCACAACCCTTCGCAATACTCACTGGGGTGGAATGAAGTGTTTGTATTTTCTCTAACGTTCATCACTCATCAGACTTCTTGACTGGCGAGTCACGGAAAACATTTTCATTTAGGAAAAAAAATTAGTATATGATTCTCTCCCAGTTCCTCTTTCTAGTACTATTGATGCTGTCTCGACAAATCTAAGCCCGTGTCGCCTACTAACCGAATCCTTGAGGACCTGCAGTGTGAATCATACTCATGATATTTCTCGTATAATCACGTTTGAATCCTATGTATGTTCCGGAGTGTAATACTAGGGTTTTTACTTGATGGGATTTGGATACTGAAACATCGATCATCCAGTCGTTTAGTGTTTTCAGGATGCCAAGAACGATATTTTGTCAACTGAAATCGTAATTTATGGTTGTAGAGCAGGAAGGACTAGTGGGCACTATGATAATCTTTTCGACAGAGATCAGAATAAAGTGATAGCTTAGGTTTAATATAGCTTTTGAAAGTTACTCCGTGTGAATATAATCAGATTTCCTTTACTTTTGGTGCTATACAGGTGGTATATATATATATATATATATATATATATATATATATATATATATATATATATATATAACTATTCATCAAGCAAAATCCCTGAAAACGTATCTTTCGTGAATATAAACCGTGACCGCTGAAGAGTTTTACCTTTTCATCAGTTCATATATTCCACCACTTATCCATCCCGTTAAGCTCCACTGTTATTTTTAAGAAATAAGTCAGCCAGTTAGTCAGTCAGCTGCAACATAGGCCCAGGCACACATGTGCATCGGTCCAAGTTGCCACACTTCATTATCACAACAAGACGAACACTGAATTCATAGAACTAGTTACTTCAATAGCAGTAATATATAAAAGTTTGTGTCTAAGCATACAGTATAGGAAGAAAGAATTAGTTTGTAGAAATAAAGGTATAAAGCAATTTTAATCTCACGGTTTAAGTGCAGACTAAGAGTGAATACAACAACGCCATCGTGGTCGATTACGTGCCATGTCACCCACAGTCTCTAACCATTGGTTACGATAGTCACGCGGACCGCAACCAAGTAGTCTGCATCTACCGACATGGCTCAGAACAGAAGTTAGTGACTTCAACGACTGATGTCACGTTTTGGTTCGGCCGCCCTAATGTTCTTCCAACCATCTCCAACACCGGTCAGCATTACGCGTCGTGGTAATCGGTGTTCAGGCATACGTAACACGTGGCTCAACCATCTCAATCGATGAAGATTTACAGCCTCATCAACTGATTTACCATCATTCCATAATAACCTGCATCTAACCTCACTATTACTTACCCGGTGATTCCGGTAGATGCGAGCAATATTTCTAAGGCATCTCCGGTCAAATACTTGTAGCTTACGAGTATCTTCTATTGTTAATGACCACGTTTCGCAGCCGTAAAATAGAACAGTACCAAATGCCGCACAGTATACTCGTCAGTTAATTGATAGACGGATATTTCAATTTCGCCATGGGCGATGTAGGTTAGCAAAAGCCAAACGAGCATAGATTTCGTCAAACACCAACCAATTAGGGTTGGTCAGACTTCGAATATAAGTGTTGTCGACGCGTTCGGTTACTTCAGTGCCTATCTTTACTTCGTTTTGACGGAGGCCAATCCTGAATCAACAATTTACATTTAGAGGGGGAGAAATGAATCCCAAACATTCTGGCATCGTTGCTCAATGCTACCAAAAGACATTGAATTTTATCAATGTTTTTGCTAAAGAGGACTATTTCATCTGCGTATTCGAAGTTGCAAAGTGGACCTCCTGGTAGGAGATCAGTGGTCGATAATTCAGTGGACGAGAACTTTATTTCCAGTAGTAGATCTATGTTGAAATTGAACAAAATTGGAGATAGTGGACAGACTTGCCGGACACCACCTGAGGTAACATTTAACCTCGTATTATTATTGACGAATCAGTTGACTACTGATCTGTTCGAAGCATCGTAAAAATCTTCCACTTAAATCCCTAGGTTAAACGTTGAGACGATTCTGTAACAGTGACGTCTAATTTCGTACATTTTGATCTCAATAGATATATCATTCTAAAGTGAGTTTATTAAAGATTCATCGATTTTTACTAAGCTTAATGGCATAGATGAGCTTACTGTCTGCTCTCACCAACACCATACCAGGTTAATCGTTTTGTGCTTTTTTTTTCGAGGCTCCCTCACTTATAATACATTCCGTGGTTTAACATTTGTAACCGGTGCATACTATTTGTTGAACTGATTGACTGATAAGTTTTGTGTGGTATCTTTCCGTACAAATTAATAACATATTGCCAATCATTTAATTTTAAGCAACTGAGTTACATCAGTCAAGTTTTGTTTTAATTATTAAATAATTACTTCTATTGCAACTTTGATATTCATTCATGGATAGATGAATCGCTTAGTGTTTATCCTTAGTGAAACGAATGCGTTTGTAGAATCAAAGACGTTCAATAGGTCGCTAGTTCTAAAAACATCATTAAAATATTGGAATAAACACTTCTAAATGGGGTATTAGTTACTGGCCGTTTTTGTTTCTTATTGTTCAACCATAAACTAGAATACTTATCTATGGGCAGTCATATACAACGTAGGATCTGAAACATGTACATCGGTTTCCATACCATATTAGCACAGAGAGATGAAATCGTTAAGAAAAATCTCAGAGTAGTAGGATTAGTAACAGTATCTGTAATAATCGAGACGATTAAATATAAGAAGGAAAGTGTATGAGATTTCGGGTTTCAGAGTCTAGATGAAAACAGAGAGTAGATACATCTCCGTTATTACGCTCGATTGTGGCCCATGTCAACCTACGTTTCTAACTACTGGTGACGATAATCGCACGGACTCCAGGTAGCTACACGGCTCAGTTCGATTGTCACTAATTTTATGTACTGATGCCATGGTTTGGTTGCCTCAAGCTTTCTTTCAATCTACTCCTACACCAATAAACATCCCCCATCGAGGTAGTAAGTAGTTGAGCATACACAATACATCCCAACCACCTCAGTGGATAAAGATTTCATACTTCATCAATTTATTTGTATCGAAAATGGTAAAAATTGAGTATGCTAATCAATCGAAGTATGTCAAGATAGCAAAACGTATTAGTGCTAAGGCCAACTATTATCGAAACGCTTGGCGGTTTATGTGAACTGGGTATTTCCTCATCAAGTTTGTCGCAATGATGGAATTAGTGTTTTGGGGAATAAAATGTTTTAAGGTTATCAAAGTATCGAGTTTTGTTAAGTGTTTTGCAAAATTCATAGATTCGGTTTTAATAAAACCGGTATTCTTTGATTGTAAGCAACAAATTATGAAAAAATACTTCCAGAATTTATACCGTACACAACATGTGTTACAATTATTCTTTCGTGACTGACCGAAATAATGTGCAACCTGATACAGCAATGCATGAGCTCGAGCTACCGCATACTCCATTGTTACAATGAAAATATCGACAAGATAGTAGGAAGTAAAGAAAGCTGAAGAAAACTGTACTATAAAAATTAGAACCTGAAAATCCAGTATGGTGTAGACTAGTGTGAACTCTAATTTCCACCTGGAGAGTCCTCTAACACTTATTATTTTTCGGATGCTTTTTACTCATGTTACCATAGTCTATTCTTACAAATACTGTTATTTCTTTAATTTACGTTCATATTTCGATGATCGATTATTCGTTGCTCTCTCTTTTTTTTTCTTACAGGTCTAATCGTAAAATAATCTTATCTCAGGGATTTGTAGTGTGATTTTTATTTTTATTTTTGCACTTCATGTTCATGCATGAAAGAATTATTGATCCACAAATTTTAATTTCCTTCCTACAATCGATTAACATGCTCAATGGGATTTCCTGACCATACTTTTTATTTTTACTCAAATTATCCCCGTCAAGTTATCAATTGTTATAGTGCGAAAAAAATGTTTACTACATCTTCAACTAATTCTGATACAACAACACCACCGTCTTCGGTGAAATTATTATCTATTGACGAACATGCTCAAACAATACAATTTAATACTAATCAAAATACTAATAATCTTACAAGTGATTCTTTATGCATCGATTCATCTGAACGTGGAACTCAGGAACTTTTAAATACCATACATCATAACAGTCCAATTAGCAATAACAATAATAGCAATTGTATGCTAAATTTAAACAATAAGGCTACCTCATTTCCTTCAAGTATGACAGACCTTTCATTATTATCATCATCATCATCCCTTTTTCATTGTGAAAATTGTCCTATATGTGGAGATAAGGTATCTGGTTATCACTATGGTCTTCCTACATGTGAATCTTGTAAAGGTAAATAGTATATTTCTTAACAAATTTCTGATTTTTCTTCTTTTTCTATGAAATTAAGGATTTTTCAAACGTACTGTGCAAAATAAGAAAGAATATCATTGTAATGAACAAGGAAATTGTGTTGTTGATAGATTACATCGGAAAAGATGTGCTTATTGCCGATTTCAGAAGTGCTTAATTGTTGGTATGCGAGTAGAAGGTGAGTCTTCTTTGTGTTTTGTTTCTGGTTGATTGTTCTTTTAATCGATTTAATTTCATCGTTTGCTTTTCAGTTACGCGAAATACATTAATTTATGCATGTAGTGGTGTCTGATCAATGAAGGATTGTATTCGAAGATTAAAAAAAGGATCAAGGCCGCCTAAAGTTGATTAAATATAACATCAATCTATAGAGTTATCGACATCTTTGGATTATTATGCGCACCTGTAGACTTGATAGTTTGATCCACAGGATATCAGGAACTAATATTTAAAAAGTTGCAGTGGTACGGCTTGTAATTGTTTCAGTTCATTAATCATTCACACGTATATGTACTCGTGTTCTTACCATCTGTTGATACTGCTCAGTTACTAAAGTCGATTAGGGTGAGGCATGGAAGAGCAATAAATACATTAGACTAGGTTTTACTTTTAATCATAACAGCAGTGTTGGTTAAAACGAGAGACCCCTAATATACTGTAGACCCATCACAATCAAAGGAAGATTCATTTGTTTGTTTCTGCGCAGCAGCTCGTTTTGTTTTACTTTACGGCTGCGAAACGTGGTCATTAACAATAGAAGATACTCGTAAGCTACAAGTATTTGACCGGAGATGCCTTAGAAATATTGCTCGCATCTACCGGAATCACCGGGTAAGTAATAGTGAGGTTAGATGCAGGTTATTATGGAATGATGGTAAATCAGTTGATGAGGCTGTAAATCTTCATCGATTGAGATGGTTGAGCCACGTGTTACGTATGCCTGAACACCGATTACCACGACGCGTAATGCTGACCGGTGTTGGAGATGGTTGGAAGAACATTAGGGCGGCCGAACCAAAACGTGACATCAGTCGTTGAAGTCACTAACTTCTGTTCTGAGCCATGTCGGTAGATGCAGACTACTTGGTTGCGGTCCGCGTGACTATCGTAACCAATGGTTAGAGACTGTGGGTGACATGGCACGTAATCGACCGCGATGGCGTTGTTGTATTCACTCTTAGTCTGCACTTAAACCGTGAGATTAAAATTGCTTTATACCTTTATTCCTACTTAATGATAGTCAAGCTAAGAGTACATTTCAGAAACAACTAGAAAAACTGTTAGGCAGCCATGTAAGTGATGCCCATCCCGAGGCAGCGTGGAATGACATCCGAAAAGCTGTAGAAACAGCAGTGATGTCTGCAAGTACGGTAAACCATAAGGTTAGGAAGAAACACTGGATCTCAGCAGCATCTACCGCACTGATAGATGCTCGTAAACTCATTCCATCTGGCTCTGAACATAACGAAGAGCGGAGTCAGCTTAAGCATAAGCTGACTGGAAGCCTACGCAATGATCGTGAACAATGGTGGATAGCGAAAGCAAGAGAGATGGAAAAGGCAGCGGCAATAGGTAACAGCAGGCAACTGTTCAGACTTGTTAAGGAAACCGGTATTAGGAACCCAACTGTTAGCGAAACCATCTCAGAGAAAGATGGACATATTATTCATTCTCAATCCAGGAGATTGGACCGATGGGCAGAACACTTTAGGGATCAGTTCAACTGGCCTTCAGCCACACTTCGGTTTCCCACGAACTCCAATCTTCCTGAATGGCAAATTAATGTAAGTCCTCCGACTCTTTACGAAGTTGAAAAAGCTATAGGTAATCTAAAGCGTGGGAGAGCAGCAGGCCCTGACAGGTTTACCCCAAAGATTTTTAAGGATGGTGGTCTAGTATTAGCAGCGAGATTGACTGAGGTCTTAGGTAGAATCTGGGAACTGGACGTAATCCCATCTGACTGGTCTCAATCACTGATTGTGCCAGTCTATAAGAAAGGACAAAAGTCCTCTTGTGACAATCACAGAGGTATTAGTTTGACTAATATAGTGTCTAAAATATTAGCTTCAATAATACTTCGACGCCTAACTAACGCTCGTGATGAACAGACTAGAGAAAACCAGGCTGGTTTCCGACCTGGATGTGGTTGTACAGACCAGATATTCACACTACGTCAGATCCTAGAACATAGACACGCATTCAGACGTCCCGCAATGGTTATTATTATTATTATTATTATTATTATTATTATTTAAACACATAAATATTGGTATAAGGGGGCACCAAATATATATGCGCCACACAAAACAATGATAATTTGAAGAGAAGGAGAAAAAAAGTAATGATCTTAGGGAATTATAAAAAAAAGAGAGAGTTTGAGAGAACAATAATGGGGGAAACGGAAAGGTACAATCAAATGCCCTGGTATGGCCGAGAGCAGGGAGGTTCGCCCTCATTCTCGAAATACTCTCACACGGCCACGCGTACACAGTCTCTGCCAGGGAAGTCCTACTCACTGCCTTCTCGTGGCGGGTATGTTGTTTACGAAAATGAGAGGACGAAAAGCGAATGAACAATTCGCTTATGGAAAATATTCCTTTCTCTCTGATTAACATTGAAATGACTCGTATTATTATTATTATTATTATTATTATTATTATTATTATTATTACTATTATTATTATTATTATTATTATTATTATTATTATTATTATTATTATTTTACCACGTCATTTATTCACCCTCTCTTATTCGCCTATGGTGAAAATTCGGCTCTATCTAAACGTTCTCGAGTCACTGCTTGGTTGAAAATTGTATGTTACCACTGAATATGAGTACTAAAGCAGTTTTTCTGAAACCACGTGCACCATTCAAACTGGCTGCCATCAACGTTCGCACACTTATGCAAGTCGGACAACAGATAGGGCTGGCTATGTCTTTGGAAAGTCTTAATATTGATGTGTGTTGTCTATCCGTGACCCGTATTCAAGACTCTGGTGAAGTACTACAAGTTCGCTCTCCATCTGTCACTTCAAAAAGCTTGTTTTACGTGCGTTTATCCGGGGACCCTGTGGCATCTTCGTCTGGTCTTGCTGGTGTTGGTGTCGCACTGAGCGCTAGAGCTGAGGCAGCATTAATTGACTGGATCCCCATTAACAGTCGGTTATGTGCCGTTAGATTAGCAAGTTCCATCAAAGTGAGAGGAAATCGGTGTGAGAAACGATGTCTTTTCGTCATCTCCGCCTATGCCCCGACAGATTGCAGCCCGGATGCAATCAAGGATGAATTCTACCACCAGTTAACTGTTCTTCTCCAGAAAGTGCGTTCGACAGATATTGTAGTACTTGCCGGAGACTTGAATGCTCAGGTCGGGCGTCTAGGCACAGAAGAGAGTTGTTTAGGTGGCCAATGGGGACTCGTTGGTCGCAGAACAGATAACGGGGAATGTCTACTGCAACTATGCACAGACCACAACCTGTTTCTGGCTAGCACTAACTTTCGGCACAGTCATCGCCGATGTGCCACCTGGCGTCCTCCCTCTGCATCTCAAGCCTGGACTCAGATTGATCACATCGCGATCAGCTACCGCTTGCGTGGTTGTGTACAAGACTGCCGCTCCTTTTGGAGTACCTATCTGGAATCTGATCATGCCCTGGTCTGCGCCAATCTTACCTTACTTTTCAGTGAACAACGAAGTGACCGCCACCAAAGGATTGATGTTAGCAAACTGGCTGCAACTTCTGTTGCTGGTAAGTACCGAACCGAGTTAGCTTCTAGGCTAGCTACCATTCCACCGAAAAGTATAGATGAGCATTGGTTGCAATTGCATGACGCCACGAAAATGGCGGGTAAAGTCTGTTGTGGGTTCACGAAACGTCCCGCTTATAAGCATGGGTTTCTTCTGGTTCCTTACAACTCATTGAAGCTCAGTGTAAATCGGAGCTAAAGGATATTTCCCATAAGTAAATAGTTCATCATGTTTTACTCCCCGGGTGCGCAGACCGAAGCAGGTGGTCTTCTTAGGGGGCCACTCCCCGAGACTTTGACCTAAAGGTCCAGTCCACAAGGCAGTGGAGCATCGTGAGGAGATGCGGTCCCATGGAAGCCGGCGACCAAAAATTGGTTCATACGCCATTTGTTCCTTCAGGATTCTGGAGCCCTTGTGCATCATTGATATGGGATCCGGTTATAGCGCCGGACATTCGCTTTTCGTCCTCTCATTTTCGTAGACAACACTCCCGCTACGATAAGGCAGTGAGTAGGGCTTCCCTGGCAGAGGGAGGGTGGGTCCGCCCCACTTTCGGCCATACCAGGACATTTGGAGCCCCCACAATGGTAGTATTTCTCGACCTTAAGGCGGCATTCGACTATGTTGGTCGTGAGGTTCTATGGCAGTGATTGTCACTGAAAGGAGTACCAAAGAAGTACATCAACCTTATAAAGGCTCTCTACTCGAACACATCTGGTCGAGTGAGAGCTTATGGCGAACTGTCATCAGAACTGATTACCTCAAGTGGTGTTCGTCAGGGCTGTCCACTCTCTCCATTCTTGTTTAAGTTTGTCGTTGACGTGTTTATAGAGATGACACTTTCCTCATCTAAATTTCTAGGAGTTGAACTTCTACCGGGAGATCCACTTGTTGACTGAGAATATGCTGATGACATGGTTCTATTTGGTGAAGACGCTGACAAAATGCAGAGTCTTCTCACTATTCTAAGCAACAATGCAAGCATGTTCGGCATGCGATTCTCTCCCTCGAAATGCAAAATGTTGCTTCAGGGTTGGATTGCATCGACACCCGAACTAGTGATAGGGAGTGAAGTAGTTGAGCGTGTCGACCGCTTCACTTATGTTGGAAGTCTCATCAGCCCTTGTGGTCTGGTGTGTGACGAAATCTCAGCACGGATACAGAAGGCTCGACTAGCTTTTGCCAACTTGCGTCATTGTGGCGTAGGCGAGATATCCGTCTATCAACCAAAGGACGTGTTTACTGCGCAGCAGTTCGTTCTATCCTACTTAATGGCGGTGAAACATGGCCAGTAGGAGTAGAGGATATTCGTAGGTTACTAGTATTTGACCATAGGTGTCTTCGAAACATTGCTCGTATATCCCGGGACTACCGAGTAAGTAATGCAGTTGTTAGGAGATGGGTACTAGGTAAGGATGGCAAATCAATTGATGAAGTAGTGAAACTTAATCATTTGAGACGGCTGGGACATGTGTTACGTATGCCCGACCACCGACTGCCCCGACGTGCGATGTTTTATGGTGTAGGAGTAGGTTGGAAGGAAGCTAGGGGCGGCCAGACCAAAACATGGCACAAATCCATGAAGTCACTGACAAGTGGACTGAGCCGTGTTGTTAGGTATAGACTACCTGGTTGGGGACCGCGAGATGATAGCAACCGATGGTTAGAGACCTTGAATGACATTTCTGAAAATCGTTTGCAACAGCGTAGGTGCATCCACTCTCTATGTTCTCTCAAACTCTAGTCTTCTGTATTCTTCATGTCCTTTATTTTCTTTCCAAATCTATTCCACTGGCCTATACTCCTTAAATAACATAATCAAACCCTAATGTTCCCTATCACTACTTATACTATCACTACCTCTACCACTACGGGATTTGAATCGATAACTGAATCTCTGTGCTAATGTGGTATGGCAATCCGAACTGATGTACGTACTTACGAAGTTCCACGTTGTTACTGACTGACTGACTTTATTTCTACAAACTAAATCTTTCTTCCTATACTGTATGTGTTATTACCTTGGTTTCTCTACCCACTTTTGGTGCCGAGGATACTTGTCTAAACGACATTTCGACTTTGATGCGATATGCTGATCGGTTTAACCTTGAGACTAGTACGCGTGCGTTCGAGATGGGGTAGAGAGAAGAAAAACTATTCTGTCACCTGATTGGTGGGCAAGCACGCGAATGAGAGAAGACAAGACAATTGGAACACTAACCGATCTATTCCTGACTTCAACAATTAGTTAAACAGGTACATGAATAAATAAGTGAATAACCCGACCGCGACGTACAATAATTAGGAAAAATACAATTATGTCCAAATCTGGGAATTAGAGTGGAAAATAGGGTGCAAAATAATATGTTTAAATTACAATAGCTTCGGAACAGAAAAAGGTATGTCAGTGAATGATACATCGAACGAAAGCTTGTGTTCTATAGAATGGATTAGGGCGAAAATAAATGTCAGTGTTTTACAAGCTTTGAATAACATGGAATAACGTCCGGAAAAATAGCCTTCGTAGTTTGTCAGGGCTTCTTGTTTCCCGGTTCACATCAGTATGCTTATACACAATCTTTCTTTTATGTATTACTGCTATTGAAGTAACTAGTTCTATGAATTCAGTGTTCGTCTTGTTGTGATAATGAGGTGTGGCAACTTGGACCGATGCACATATGTGCCTGGCCCTATGTTGCAGCTGACTGACTTCGTTTGTTAGTTACTTTGATCTGCTACACAATGTATGTATCGTCATTTTTTCGGTAGCATAGGAAGTTGTAGGCTTTCCTGATTTCAATCTCGTTAGTTCTTTTGGAATCAACTTTTGTAAATATATTTCCAATGCCGTAATGAGATCTATATTTTAGTTGTATCATTGAATTTTGTCTTACCGTTCCAGTCCTTTATGTATTAGTTTACGAAATTCCCTATACAATTCAGTAATAATATATCTATTGGTTTGCACTTTTGTTTGTCTACTCTGGGTTATTGCTTGAAAGTGAACCTTGATATTAGTCTCAGTATGCTGAGATATATGAAGTTGTTTAGAGTCAAAATTCAATGTTCTAGTTTTGTCTGTTGACAATAAAGCTAGTGTCATTGTACACATACATGCAGGAGTTTTCTAATTGTATGACTTTATTAGTTTACCAATGTTTTGGTGCGAACCATGTATACTATCTTCGTTCACTGTGGTATCCATAAAAATTGTATTACACAAGTACTAATAGCTCATAAAGACCGTTTTTTGTATATGGTAAATAGAACTCAATTTGTTTTTATCAACTTGAAACTATCTATCTATCTAATATATAACTGTAATCTGAAGTTAAAAAAACCCCGTGATTATGCTCCCGTTTTATAGGGCGTAAACATCATTTATTTGTAAAATGAATAGATAAATGTGCAAGATACCGCTATTTATAACTTTCATGGTCTTTTTTAGTCTCATCCCTTGTATTTTTTCCCATTCTGATGATCTTAATTTTGTACTAATTATTCGACAATGGATTACGTACTTGAATCAGGTAAAGCCACATTTATGTGCATAACCTTATTATTCAATTCTCTGTGCTTGATGACAGTGAAGGATTTCCGTCACAAATGTATAATATTTCAGGAATGTTCGTTGTATACCGATCTCATGTACTAGTATTTCAAATACTTTATTTAAGAAAGTTTTGGCACTCATCACCCACAAATGTTTTTGATCAGTTTTTCTTTTCTGACATGTCTTTTCATCGCTTAACATATCTGATACGTAAATTCCAGCGCGATTGTTTCCTGAAATTTTCTAAAAATCGTACGAAGAAGAAAGTACACTGACCACCGCGGTGGTCTCATTTGAATTTACTAGTATTTGTCTTTGCGATATGCTGCAGACATTTCATTAAAGTCCCTAAATACATTAGAGGTTTAACATAAATAGTCGGTTGATCAAAAGCAATCAAAAAACGATTTAAATTTTTGTAATATTTACGGTGTTGGAAAATAGTTAGTCCAGAAATTTGAACGGCCCTTTCCATCCTTCTGCCTTAATTGTTTGGATTTTTAATGGGTATATATAGATGTAATTCCCCAAATCCAAAGTGATTAGGAATATTCGCTTATGAGCACAAACATCAAGCTTCTAACTAAATTTCTTCCAAACAATATCAGGTAGATGCTTACAGACTATCTGATTGGAGTCCGCGCGATTATCTTCACCAGTAGTTAGAAACGTAGGTTGACATGGGTCACAATCGAGCGTAATAACGGAGATGTATCTACTCTCTGTTTTCATCTAGACTCTGAATCCCGAAATCTCACACACTTTCCTTCTTATATTTAATCGTCTCGATTATTACAGATACTGTTACTAATCCTACTACTCTGGGATTTTTCTTAACGATTTCATCTCTCTGTGCTAATATGGTATGGAAACTTGAACTGATGTATATTTGTCAGATTCTGCGTTACATGTGGTTGACTCTTCCAAGCAACAAGAATACTTTTTCAAGTTTCAGAGTATATGGATTGTGACTAGCGCTTCTCGTTCTATCTGGAGCTTGTCAGTTGTATTTACCTTGATTCCAGTATTGACTGAGATTTGTACCCTGTATTAATTGCTAATAGCCAACGCACTATCCACTGAGGTACAGAGTCTAAACAGGCATTAACATATTCAATCGGTATAATATCTATTTGCTAGGATTCGTATTATCGCGTTGTCGCTTTTGCGACCTAATTTTGACCAGTCTTTGTTGGAATATGTACATTTTGAGCGGACCTGTTTGATATGCTCATTTTGTAAGGAGTTTCAGAATGTATATCATGTTTTCTTTTTAAGTGAGTGTATACCTCTTAGAATCGAAAAAGAACCTTTTTCACTTGACGTTAGAATCACATCATGGCACGTTGGCTTATTTGCTCTTCTAATACAATAAATAAAAACCGATTGACTCCGTTGTAATTGGCTAAGATAAGTTGTAGGGAAGTTATAAATAAATCAGGTCATATTTGTGAATGCGTACAAATATGATCAAATATATACTCATTCACGTTCAGGATCAAAACAAATTAGAGTGAATTTTCAAATCGATCAATTAGTTGGTTGTATTCTAATAATGGTAGTAGTTCTTGTTTTAGTCAAGTGACAATGTCGAAAGCATTTGTGTATCTTTTTAAAACAGGGAAGTCATGATACCATAGGTGATGAAATAAAAATAGATGAACCTGTATAATGAACGAGTTTATATATGTATGAGTAGATGGACAATTTTTCATCCCTTATGAATTTTGTTCATCAACGTTTCTCTCTTTTATCCACGTACAAATAAAAAAAAATTATTCACCTAATAAAAAGTGATTTCATATACACGTGTATGTCCGCATAAATAGGTGAAACATTATGCAACCAATCGGTATGATATACCTTCAAATTCACTATATTCCATTTCTTTCTGTAGTAATTAGTTTTAATCCATGTTTTAACACACCATTAATACTATCTTCTTCCTCATAATGTTATACCCTAACAATGTTTATAAACCTTTACAACCTTCCATTCTCAATACTGACGAGAATGATGATGACAACAGTAAATTTCATCATAAATCAGTAGAAAAATTCGTATATCTAGATAATAATAATAATAATAATAATAATAATAATAATAATAATAATAATAAATGTAAAACTTTGTGGAATTCTAATCATTGTGAGAATCATGTAATATTTTACAGTAAAAATAATAGTCAACATAAATTCTTCAATAATATTTCTCATCTACAGAATCAATCTAATACTGCATCATTATATTCATTATCACCTAGCTATATAGCTCCATTATTTTCACATTTTGTTCATGGTACTGCTGTTGTTGCTACTACCTATACTACTAATATTATTACTAATTGTACTGGTGATCATTCCTATTCTAATTCTCGTTTCGATTTTGTAGCTGTTCGTGAAGATAGAATGAGAGGTGGACGTAGTCGACGTGGACGTTCATCCTACTGTGTTGTAACAACACCGAATTCAAGCAATAGTAATAATAACAATAATGATTCTAAAATGGATAATGTTAAATGTTTACTTTCATCTAACTCCTCTGTGATGTATTCAAAATCTGTTGACAGTGAACTATACAGTAGTATTACTCCTCCTCCACTTTCTCATACTTCAACTTCTACCATCAATGTTAACAATATTCATCCCTCGAACAGTGGCATTGACACTTCCAATAATATTACAACATCAATTCCATATGATAAAGACTACTGCAACAGACGATCACCAATAATTGTCCCATCATTATGCACAGTGAGTAAAACAATATGTGAAGCAAACTTGGTCCCATGTTCTTTATCCTTAACGAATCCAATTCCACAAGTTACAACAACATGTACTACAACAGTGACAGTATCACCAAGCCATTCATCTTCGCTGTATGAATCTAGCCTATTTAACCCAAACTAGTGAGTTTTTATCATTTAAGTAGTAATTCATATAGCTGATTATTTAGTTACTAAAATAATAAAGTTTGCATTTTCTATGCAATGTATGTTAATAAAGTACACTTTGATCAAAGTAGTAGCGTTTTCATCGTTCGACGGTGTTGCTCATCATCTTGGTAATTTTATCTTGTCACACCAATGTGGTGTGGTAACTTTGGCTACGGTACATTTGTCCCAGGCTCTACGTAGATTATGACTGACTTGATGCTGTTGTGTTCTGTGAAGTAAATAATTTCATTACGGAGTTTTCACTATCTTTTTGGATAACATCATCAGTTACTAATTCATGAGGAAGGCAAAATTGATGTCGCCTAAACTAACAATATAAACTCGGGAATTAGACCATCTAGCTCAGAGAATATAATACTATCTAAATGTTCTTGGGCTGCAAATTTACGTAATTTCAATCTTCGTACACCAATTCGAAACGACTATTCTATTAAATATTTAGTACTCTCAATATATCTTATAACGTCTTTGAAATTATGAACCGATCTAATTTGACCACCATTAAAAAAATGTAAGCACTGGAAGACCGTTTCATCGTAGTATGGGACTCATATTTGCTAAATGCTCCTACATAAAAACAGGATTATAAAATGTATAAACTGCACTGGCGAATAAGATTACTTTTAACAGTATTCATAAGTGATTGTGGTGACATAGTACTATTTCCCTTGATATGATAGGATATGATATATATATATATATATATATATATATATATATATATTTGTATGGAGTTTGTAAATATTGTTGAATTTTATTGAAATCACGAACTGATGTTAGTTAGACCACGATTGAGAACCTGAAAGTACTGGACGACTGTTTCGCGCTAATATGGAACTTCACAGTAGTACACATTCACGACCTGACTACTGAGAATCAAACCTGGGACCTTCGGTCTCGTGCGCGAATACCTAACCTATAGACCACTGATCCGGCATCCATTAATGAAATTCAACTATCTCCACAACCCCATACTGAAAATATCTCTTAATTATTGCGTTTAGTTTTATGTTGCACAGTCTTAAGTATGAGTTGACTAGACATATTTGTAAATTAAGAAAAACACGCTTCTTTTGGAATTCAGTCAGAATTCTGTTGCAGTTTTATTTATATACAACGTGAAAAATCTTGGTTTAACAGATCACCAGAAAAAATTTCCAAACGAACTGGAATGATAACATTGTAAAGACAAAAGCGAGAAAATTCGTATAATCAATCATTAATAAATAATAATATTTAGTCAAAGATACGGTTCAATTGAAAATACAACCGAGACGAATCTCTTTTAGTTAAGAAGCTTGATATTTTATGAAGAATGTAGATCAAGATTTTCACTGGCTTTTGTTTTGAGTCTCTTCTGATAATGCCCTAAACTACAGAATTTCATAATATCTTAGATCCTAACCAGAGGGTCGCGATGGACAAATATATGTTAGTCCTATACAGTTACCTTTAATCCTACATCTCCATACTGTAAGTTTACTACGTCTCTCCCATTTCCACTCAGTCCTAGTGTCGGTAAATAGAGTACGCAGCGGTAAAGCCGCTCGGATAACATTCATAAAACATGTTTGAGTCTACCAAAAAACTTGAATCTAAGATTCTCAAACAATCATTTGCCAAGTTTCAACTCTTAGTGTTTTAATGTTTACTCTCTTTACTACTGAAAATATACACCAAACTTAATTTGAAAATTCACTTTGAAAAAGAGTCCCAATTTCTTTTTCATTTCCAATAAACAATTATGTTTGTATAAATCTCATTGTTAAAGTTAATTGCGATATTCCACTCTAGTTTATGGTTTTTCATCTGTTAAGTTATCGATCATTTTCTTTATAATTTACCATTAATAATTATACATTCGAGATACAACAAACTTATTATGTCATGCCTGAACTTTTCTACTTGCAACATGCATAAAAATTGACTAGATTAATGATTAATAAAAATAAATGAAAAGAGATTTCATGTTCGTTTATATTTACAATTGAATTTCAATTAGCTAATATGACAAAATCATTGTGTAAATTAGATAAAGTACATATGTTAAGCTATTGTATGTATTGTACATATGTAAGCTAACTCTTAACGATACTTATTAGTTGTAGCTTCGATTAGAGTGCATCGAAGGAAAACTATGATTAGTTCAGTTTTTTATTATACATAATTATTTTCATTTATTAAACAATTCTCCTTATAAATGTTTATTTAATCAATGATTTTCTTATTGAGATCATGAATCGATCAATGTTAGACCAAAACCCTATACTGATAATAATTATTTTAAATCGCTAATTACTTCACAGTTTCCGTTATTTTTTCAATTGTATTTTCCAAAAAAAATCTACTTCTTAATTGGATGACTTTCATTTTAAGTTTTATAGGGTGACAGGTTTTCATAGGAATAAAGGCATTGACCTATTCTATTTCGTTTTATTGTAGTACAACATAATTTTAGTGTTAATTTCCCCTAATAATGATAAATGAATGGTCATATAGTTGATTAATTGTGTCTTTTTTTACATGGCTAACACATTCGTTAGAAAATAATATTTTTTTCTCTCTTATCTTGTCTACAGTTATTTCTATCGAGATATTCAGTAAATGGAATTATTTCTATTGTATTTTATTTGAACACATAAATATTGGTACAAGAGGGCACCAAATAAATATGCGCCACACAAAATTTTATTTGTGTGCGCGCTGTGACACTGCCCTGGTGCCCAAACCGAAGCAGGTAGTTTTCTTAGGGGGCCACTCCTCGAGACTTTGATCTAAAGGTCTAGTCCACAAGACAGTGGAGCATCGTGAGGAGATGCAGTCCCATGGTAGCCGGTGACCAACGATTGGTTCATACGCCATTTGTTTCTTCAGGATACTGGAGCCCGTGTGCACGATTGGTTTGGGATCCGGTTAAAGCGCCGGACAATCGCTTTTGGTTCTCTCATTTTCGTAGACAACACTCCCGCTACGAGAAGGCAGTGAGTAGGACTTCCCTGGCAGAGGCTGTATACGCATGGCCATGTGAGAGAATTTCGAGAGGGAGAGCGGACTCTTCCCACTCTCGGCCATACCAGGTCATTTGGGGGCCAGTAAATGCAAAGTTAATCTAATATTTATGTCAGAATGTATTACTTGAAAAATTGTATTATTTTCTTAAATTAATTTTGATAGTCAAATTAAAATGATTGATTCTCATTGATCCCCGCTTATAATATTATTAACAGTATCCTCAGAAAGATTTCATTTTAGAAAGTAAAATTTATGTTACTACTAACTAATTGTTATAATTTCAGTTGATAATTTTATAACTGATTTAGTAAGTTTTAATAATCAAGAATAGTGATGAACTGAATACAAAAAAGAATTATAATAAATTCATTGGTATTTCATTAACTTCTCGTTAGTTGCTTCCACCTGCTAAATATAAAACAAGTCAAAAAATGTAGTTTAAAATACCGTATAACAATAAAGTTCGTCAGAAGTTAATATAAACACGTATTGACATAGTGTAACAAAAATTATAATAATCTAATTAAATTTAAAACGATTGAACAAGATATTATAAATGAATATCATATGCAAAATTGAGAAGTCTGAAATATCGATTATAATGGAAACAATAGATCATGGAGTTTAAAATAAATGATTATATAATTTAGAAATTATTACCGGTTAGTAATACATAAGTATAATATACGTATTGACTTAAGCTAAGTCGGTTAAAAGATAAGATTAGAAATGTTAAAAGAATTACAACTAGATAAAAATTGAAAGATAATATGGTGTTGAATGTGAGTTATGTTACTCAGGTCTAAGAGTGACTGAAAACTGATTTCATTCGAATACATATTCCATAGCATTTTCTAAATGTTATTGTTCTTGATTTATTAAAATTTATATCAAGAGAGAAAGTTATAAAATACTCCATAGTAAGCTAAATGTTTCTGTTTATTTTTATCGAAAAGCTATATTGGATTCAATCACATCGAAATTCAGTTGATAATCAATAGGTGATATCAGATAAAAACTATACATTATACGTCTAGTTGAATGGAGTTGAAAATATGGATCATTTAATTTAGATCCAGGAGCTGAAAGGTACTGTGCTGTTGTGATACACCTGTAGGTCCTGATCTTGAACTAGTACGGAGAAAAAAAATACATATTCATTGCTTCTTCGTTTACAACAGTTTTTCACTTGTTGTCTGTTCGTGGTAGGAGTTGCCTCCGTGTGTTGATTTCTATGTACGTGAAGTTCATATTTAGTGACATAGTTGACATTAGAATATTAATTCGAAGCCACTTTACTTAATTAAATGAATCAAATGATATTGTGAAAAGCTGCCCAATATATGTAACTGGCAATTACATTGTTGGTAAACTTCTAAACTTGAGACATAAAAGCTGACATTATTTCAAATCAGCACACGTTATTTTTCATTTTGATATATCCAAATTGTATTTTTAGATTATTAATCTAACAAACAGTAAGTAGTCAGGTCGACAAATAAACAGTTATTACATAAGACTTAATTTTATATCGTATGGTTCTCAATTGCTATAATTCCCAAAAAATATTGTGAAGATGAATCCAACAGTCCAGATGCAAAATTGCTAATAACTGTAGCAATACGTAAACAATATACAAACTAACTCATTCACCATGTACTTAGATATGAGCCATACTGTGTGAGGGTCACTGGTACTACCCGGTTGCCCTGGCCGAAGAGTTTAAAACGGAGTTCAAACTTGGGACCTAGTAGCCGGATTCCGAACGCTTTAAGTCACTGTTCCACTACTGTAGCAGTAGTACTAGTAAAACCCATAAAAATGAATGGTTTTGAAAGGTTAATAAAAATATACGCAAAATAATAAAATAATTTTGTTTTTTCACTCTCTGAACCAAACGATCTATGTTTTTATGCCTTTGTAATCTCTTTTGTTTCTTA